ATGACCCCACAGGGACAAATCGGGGACCTCAAGCTAACGAGGGCTCCAAAGTGTCATCTTTCTCTCGGGGCCTGACGTATGCCAGGTGCCTCGGGGACAGGATGTCCCTTGGGACCCAGAGAGCCAAGGGGCAGATGTAATGTGCTGAGGACGCTGTTTTAGGTCTAAGCTGGGGACGGGCTCGTGGCAGCTTATGTGAGGAAAAATGGCATTGAATGGTCCCAGGATGCATCCAGGGAGGATGTGCAGTGATGGTGAGAAGGCAACCTGGGGTTGCAGAGCTCTGGAGGGGGCAGCACATAGCGGGCTCTTCAGGGAATCAGGAGAAATTATCCCCTCTCTGGGGGAAAAGGGGGTGAACATGGCTGGAGTGCAGCGAGGAGGGTGGAGAGGGTTGTGGTAGAGAAAGCAGCCGGGGTTTAGAAGGGGAATGTGTTCCCCATCTTTTCTGATCCCATTCAGCTCTGTGTGGGGAGCCTAGGCAGGGTTCAGACCCTCCAGGAGCTGGGTGAGCTGTCTCCAGTAACCAGGGTGCCCCTACAACCTGCACACCCCCAGCTCCAAAGAGAAACCCGCAGCACCCACGGGTGACTCAGGGGCTGCCGGCTGGAGCCGTATGTAGCTGTGAAGCCGTGGACTAAGTATCCCTGGTTGAAAGCAACGCTCTCAGCACCCAAGGCCTCTTGCCCCCAGCTTTGCATCCACGTGGAAGGGACGGAAGCCATTTCTTGCCTGCCGGCTGTCTGGTAGCTCTGTGAGTGCAAGGGAGGGTGGGGTGTCCCAGGTCTTAGCAGGCAGCGTCCCCCTCACCCACACTGTAGGGCTTGGCAGTGGTGTGGGCGCGCTCGACAGATGGCACAGACCAAGAGCTTGGACTTGCCGTCTCCTGTGTGCCCAGGCTCAGCGCATGTGGGCTGTGGGGCGGGGAGGTATGGGGCACTCCCGGCACTGCCCCTACAGTGCCTGCCTCAGTTGTCTCTTAACTCTTCTCCTCCTGTGCCCGTGTCCTCCTCGCGGCAGGTAACCACAGCTGCATCCCCAATGCCGAGACCTCCTTCCCGGACAACAACTTTCTCCTCCACCTCACAGCCCTGGAGGACATCAAGGCGGGAGAGGTGAGGGCCGACCCCTGTGCCACTCCTCCCAGGGGACCCACCTGAGGTGATGCCCATTCTGTCCAGGTGGGGAAACTGAGGTAGAGTTGAAGTGACTTGCCCAAGGTCCAACAGAGAGTCAGCATCAGAGCTGAGGACCAATTCCCTGATCTCTCGAGTCCCCACCCAGCGCCTGCATCCAGGGTCGCTGGCCTGGGGGGACCCTTGCTGAGGAAACAAGGGTGTTCAGCAGTTCTCTTTGACTCTCTGGGCACTGCTGGGCCTGGAAGAGACCCCGAGGGTCCCCTGATGCAGCCCACTCACCGTGCCCAGCCTCCCTCTCCACAGCCTCTGCTTGGGGAGATTTCCAGGCTCAGGCCCCGGGATGCTGAGGCAGTGCAGATCTGACTCAGGCCCTCCAGCCTGGAGCGTGCTCGTAGCCATGATAAACATACAGCCGCTCCCTTTCTTGGGGTCGCTGGACCTAGCTGGATGCGATGGTTGTCTCTGGCTCCCAGGAAGACTGATCCCACTAAAACAGGGGCTTGTGGGCCCACAGATTGCAGTCCTGCCCCCTTATTGCACCTCTCGCAGAAAGCCCTGCTGGGCTCCGTCCTCTCTCGGTGCCTTGTCCAGAGGGAATGGCTGGGTTTGTCCTGGAAAGAACCTCCTGCCCCCTTACCCTGTCTTTCCTGGACCAGGGGTTTATTGGATGGGACATGTCTCAGCTGGGGCTGCCTCTCCCTTGCCTTCACAGGAAATCTGCATTAGCTACTTGGAGTGCTGCCAGCGGGACCGGAGCAGGCACAGCCGACACAAGATACTCCGGTAGGGCCAGGCACCCGTCAGGGAAGAAAACCCGGGGGTAGAAGCAGCCATGGGGAGGGGTGGGGGGATTCCTGCAGGCTGCAAGGCAGCTCTGCAGCTGAATGCCTGTCTGCTTCCTTGCCTCTTCCACGGTCCACCAGCTCACCCTTTTTTTTATATGCAACTGCATCTTCTAGCCATGTGCCCTTCAGTCCAGCCAAGCAGAGTGGGTTTTAGCATATACACATGTGCACACATCCCTCTCCCCACCAGCCATGCTGGCCATGGCACTGGGGAAAGCCATTTGAGACCAACCTGGAGTTGTTCCATGCCATCTCCGTCCTGGGGGCAGAGTTTCCCGCTGCTGCCGTCACCTCTCCAGGCCTGTCTGTGTTGCAGGACAGCTGTTGCCACAGCTGTGCTAGCGGTGGGGATGCAGTGTGGCAGCAGCGCTGTGTCCAGACAGGAAGAGGATGGTTGGTGTGGTGTGTGATCCCTTTGCTGTCAGCCTGACGGGCAAGAGGATGAGTGTGCAGGGGGTGTGCTCATGCGCATGCAGCCCTCTGGTATGTGTGCATGCACTATGACCACCCCCCTGCGGCATGCACACAGTGCTCAAGCAAGATGGGCACGTGTGGGCATGCACATGCTGCATGGAGTCGGGGCTGGCCCTGCTCTCTGGGCCCCTCTCGGCTCTTAGGAGAGGCAGGAGACCCCTGTCTTGAGTTGGAAGCTCTTAGTGCTGCCTGTGACATTGCTTCCTTTCTCCTCCCACCCCATGCAGGGAAAACTACCTGTTCACCTGCTCGTGCCCCAGGTGTCTGGCGCAAGCCGAAGACCCCGACGTGACATCGGAGGAGGACGAGGAGCTGGAGGGCGAGACGGACGACGCGGAGCTGGAGGATGAGATGACGGACGTTTGATCCTGGGCCTGGGGGGCGCGGGGCTCCTTGGGCTCCCAGCAGGCCAGGAATGCATGGCGGGGGGAGCACACCTTGGCACTGCCCATTGCTGGTGTTGTGGCGGGGTGGGAGGGACGAATGGTCAGGCAGGGCTGGGCTGTGGGTGCGGATGCCTCTGGTCCATCATCCCCGCTGCTCCGTGATGCACTGGACAGGTAGCGAGTGTCCTGCAGCTATCGCTGCAGTGCCTGGCACGTTCTCGTGAGCATCACAGCCGTGTGTGGGGCAGGCGGGGGGACCCCTGCGCTGGTGCACACACAGCACCACACACTGGGGCAGGGCCTCGCACGTGGCCTCATCCAGTGAGAAGCAGCTGCTATTTGATGCAATGATAATCTGACAACTAGGGAGGCAGGGACCGAGTGTCTGGGCAGGGGTGGGTGAGGAAAGAGGTTTAACCTTGTGGAGACTGATGTATACAGAGCGGTGGAGGTGACTGGCTGCTAGGACCAGCCGTGGCCTCCCCTCACATGCATGGGCAGTTAGCTCCATCTCTGTGTGCAATGGGTGCAGGATGGTGCTTCCCTTGCCTTGCTGGGTGGGGAGGGAGGATGTGAGGCTGCTAAAGTCTGTACACAGCCACGCCAGCTCTGCAGCACTTGGGGGCTGATGGTTGGGGCACCGGCAAGGGACAGGTTAAGTAGCTTGGCGATGCAGGCCGGGGGGGCAAGGATGTATCTGCTCCTGGGCTCTGATCCCCCTGCTTCCTGCTCTGTGCTCATGCTGGTGACCCCCACCCCAGGGTGAGAGCCCCCGTGGGAGTTGCTGTGCATGGCAGGGCTTCAGCCGCTCTCCGGGTGTCCCCTGGGGTTAGGCTTTTTGGGTAGGAAACAAGCTGCAGATGGTGTCTGCCATCAAAGTCAGGGCCCCTTGGGGCTGGGGTAGGGCAGGGCCTAGCCCACTGCTAAGTCCTGGCCTCCCGGTTTTGCAAGCACAGACCTCCCCTGGCTGGACCTGATCCAACCCCAAGCAATGGGGGCAGGACACGGGGTGCCTCCTGTATCCTCCACCCCTCTCCCCTGACCCAAGGGACTAAGGAGCCAAGCTTGGTCCTTCCCTGTCTGCATAGGATGCTTGGCCTCACCGCTGCTCTATCTGCCGGCTGGCTACACCGCTCTGATACAGCTGGCACTAGCAAATTGGGACCAGCTGACTCTTCACCCCCCACCCATTACATTGGGATAGATGCTGACCGGCACAGAACCAGACCCACCTTTTTCTGGTCCCTACTGGGCTCCTGCTATACCAGGCCTTGAGGAAGTGAGGTTGCTTTAGGGCACTTTGGCTTTCCCCTGCCCCAGGCTGGGCCAGCCCCTATCCAGATCACTGGGGCTCTTTCTGCTGCCTTCCCTGGGTGTGCAGAGGTGACGTTTGCTCTGAACTCCTGTTGCTCTGACCCTGTACTTGATGCTCTGCAGATCTCGGGCCGGGTTGTGCTCTGGGTCACAGGGTGTGAATCTGGACTAGCTTCCCCAGAAGCGACTCTGAGCTGATGCGGGCACTAGCAAGAGCAGAGCCTGCTTGATCCCCACCTGCTTCCAGCTGTGCCAGGCAGCGTTTTGCTCTTGCTTGAATCAATACAGCAATACCCTTTGTTTGAAATGGTGCTAATTCCCACTGTGCTGGCTGGCTCAGGGGAGCAGCCTGAGCTGACTGTTACTGGGGTGGCTTGTGTGGGCCCCAAAATGTGGCTTGAGCACAGTTGTCTTCCAGGAATCAAGCTGATGCAAGGAACTAAAGAGCAAGATCCTAGCCCTGGGGGCTCTGGGAAAGGCTCTTTGAGAGCGAGGAGCTGCCACGATGGGGACAAAGGCGCTGTGTCCCCGGGATGGCTTGGCTGGAGAATAATGTGCTTGCAAATCCCGCTCAGATGGGTCACTTAAGCTGATCCCCCTCTGTTTGTTCCTTTGGCCAGGCTGCGGCATGCATCATCCAGCCACGTTACTGAGTTTCACTTCCTGGTGCTCAGGCCTCGGCCCTGTGCCAATGGGTATCTCTGCAACTTGAGCAGCCCCATGTCTGACTGGGCTCTTTCCC